CAGGTTGAACCTTAACCCCAAAATTAAGGGTGTTACATTTCCTCCATCCTTATAAAAAATTTCGTCCGCGAAATTTGCTCGGACCCATTCTTCCACACTCCTCATTCTTGTACTTCTTTGCCACGAGAATTCACTCTCGATATATGACCCTCAATGATGTCGTCGCTTGTCTCGTATTGTCTACCTCGCTTCTTATTTTTCCTCTTGACCATAAAAGGTATTCTCCCAAGCTCGTTAGCATCGTGTAGCTTTGAGTGGCTACTTATCCTTTTATATTCTCCAGTTTGGGCCCAGGGCGTGATGGAACACAATTTCGACTCAATTTATTGTTCCGGCTCGTTCAGTACTTTTTGTTAGACCTTAAATCGAAGTCGAGGTATCACATTTCCTCCCCCTTAAGAAAAATTTCGACCCCGAAATTTGTTCATCGTGTTAGCTAAAAATCTTACCCGTGGTAATCCTTCTACTATAGGGATTTACACTTCCTTTTACTTGCACAACCCCTTTATCGATGCTTGGTTCTTACTTTGATGCTCGAACTCAGTTTACTAGCTCCTCGTCATTCCTTCTCAAAAGTTCTACTTGCCGTCTTTGACATTTATTAGAACTTCTCTCGAACGTTCTACTTTCTTGTCTTTCCTCGACTGGCTTATTGACTTTTCTTAGGCAAGTTTCGAGATTCTAACTCTTATCCTATCCTGGTCCGACGATGCTCTTTGTGTCCCTTGGATTTTTGACCTTTCATGATTACTATACCCCGTAGGGTCTCTCGAATCCCTCCTCATACCTCGACTTAGTTGGCGACACCTCTAGCCTTTCTTACTTATAGGCTACCTAGTGCTTGATCCAACCTCATTCTTTACATTGCTTATCTCGATGGCGGTCTCCTTCTTTTCCAAAACTTGTCTTCGAGCTCCTTGAAGACTTGTCGGGATCCTCAAGACCTTTTCTAATTCCTCCTTACATACTCCCAGCATTACTTAAAGTCTAACCCTCCACTCCTCATTTGGGTCGTACCCCTAAGCTCGATCATCGTGATCCTAGCACACCCTCTTTGCATCTTTTCCTCTAGACAATGACCAACATTTGTCGTAACTCCTTGGCTACTACCTGTCATCGTACCGGGAACTTGGCATCTTCCTGAACCTTATTCTGATCAGCTCGCATCCCCGTAGGATATGAGCTTCCTTGAACCTTCTCTTCTCACTCATCAACGGGTTTCCACTTAATGATCCTCCTAGGAATCTGCTCTTTCTTCTTCACAAAAAGTATCATAGTCACGCAGGCCTAATAACTCTATTTCCTAATAATGATTAGAGTATACCGGAGATTTTTAAAATTCTCAAAAGAACCTTGACTCATTTGGCCAAACCTTAAACCTGATACCACTATTTCCATTCCTTTAAAAACTGAAACCTTGAAAAACGCAGATCGTCACTCCAGTATTCCTTGGAGACCAAGGAACAGAGGAGTGCCGGCTCTGATACCAAAATGTAACGTCCCGTCTCTTTTCAAAACCCAAACCATAACTCAAACCAAAAACCGGTTACTCTAGAGCAACCCAACCCACATTTTAAAATAAACAAACTGACATCATTTAAGAATTTCAAACGAAAAGCCCTAACACTTGGGCAATCAAAATCCAAATACTTAAAACAACTTAACCCAGAATCTTGAACCTCGAATCTCCAGTACATAAACTCATAATCATGAACCAAACAACGAAACTAACTATAGCACTAACTCCTTGCCGATTCCCTGCGGTCTCGTCCATGCTGTTATGACAGCTTGCCTCGTCTTACTTCTTCTTCTCGGGATCCACCTCTGCTATCCCTTCCTCAACCTGGTGAGTGAGAAGGGGTCAGTCTCGTCGTTACCTCCTACGGTCTCTGCCCCTAGAAAACTCCTTACTAAAACACGTTATTAGCATTCCTTTCCTTAGATGAAAGCCGTTCTCACTTTCATCCTTAATAACTCACTTAAACCTTAACACATAGAAGTTCTCAACCTCTATCCTTAAATCGTAGATGTTCACTACCACTACCTTAACTTATAAACTTATTACTAGGGAATCACCGTGTTACGTATCGCCGTCCGGTGTCCCTATCCTCAAGGCAATGGTACTGCGTTACGTATCGTCGTCCAGTCCATGCCCGGTAAACTACTGCGTTACGTATCGCCGTCCAGTAGTGACCCGACCATCTACCGCGTCCAGTCGTGGCCCAACCGCCCGGGGGTTCAATTATCATCATCCATACATAATAAACACACACACATAGCACAACGCGTGCCTCCACCTTAAGTAGGCGGTGGGATGCCTCACACACATAATCGCGCTTACTTGAAATTAAATAACATAACTGAATTAAAAAGGCATAAACTAAAAGACCTCGACGGAGATTTTACCCCCTTTACACTCACCTTATGTCAAGTCGATTCGATTGGCATTGACCATCTACTCCCTTAGTGACTTATGAGGTGTGTGATCACCGAAATTGATTCGAGCTCGTCCATGTTCACCCGTAAGCCTTCTCGTTAACTTGTACTCAACTTCTTTCCCCGTCTGCGCAACCAAAACATCGTGACATTTTAACTATTTCCTAAGCAGTGATTAAGCTACTAGCTACTAGAAATTCCTATGTCCAGATTGTTCCTTCCAAAACGTTTCTCCCTTTCACTATAATGAAGCATCACCACGTCATTGTCCTGAACTTGTCTTATTTGTGCTTAATGACCCCTTTCTAACCACCCAAGGAAATACATTAACATAACCAAAGTTCCCATGATCTGTAAACCATCAGGTCATTAGTAACTCCTTAAACATCAGGCACCCCTTTAGTTTTACTTATAAAAATGGATTCACTCATCACTTAGCTCCTCTTACTTTCGGCATACGACACCCACCCTTTAATTCCCTAGTTTCCATAAACCAAACCACCAACATCAACGAGTTTTTATTGAGGAGGTCCTTACCTCAATTCCGATCGATTTCTGTAATTGTGGTAAGCAATGATATCGTTGTCGTCCTTCCTCATCCCATGCATATTACCTCACGTAGGGGTGCTAGTTAGTCTCTTCCAAGGATTAATATATAGAACTTCGGTACATGAGTCTAAGTGGAATACGAAGAGAAGGTACGACTCCTTACCTCTCAATTGATATTTTTCCGATACAAATGCATTGTCGTCTCCGTGGAAAAGCTTTCACCATCCAACAACCATTGATATCTGGAGCTCCTCAACGCACCATTAGGCATCAACAATCCCGATCCTTTGACCGGACTCTCCTTGTCTATTTTGTCTGCGTACAACTATAGCCAATCGTTGTCCGGGGCGATTGCATCATCACCATCGGAGCTGGAGCTACTCCCACCGTTCCGTGGTTAGGGTCATCACCACTGTCGTCATCCTCCCTCTATCATGTGCCAATTTCGATGGCGTTGCTGGTTTTGGTGGACGCGATGATAGCGGAAAGGGTCGCACTGGCGGGCTGTCTAGATCAGGAGCAGCTGGTGTTTGCGAGTGGGAGAAAATGAATGGGGAATCGGGTGAGAGGATCGAAGCAGCTAGAAAGATGAAATAGGGTTCCTGGCGGGTGCTGCTCGTTAGACTTCCTCCCTTTGCAGATAATAGTATATCCCCCTTCACCCTCTTGCTTGGTGTAACGGAGATGCATTAATCTCCTCTCAATTAACCGCTCAATTATAACACTTAATGTAGTGGTGGGAAGACATTAATTGGTTGAGCTGTAGGTGCATTACTTGACCCGGTTATGACAAGTCTCAATGCTTGGTTTGGTTTGGTTTGATGTCTCTTACATCAAAAATATATATTAATTCCAGGTTGAACCTTAACCCCAAAATTAAGGGTGTTACACTAAGTTCTGGTGCTTTTTCATTCAATAGTATATGATTACTTTAAGATCTTTGTTATGTTCCCCATTCCTTCCATAATTTGATGGACTATTCCTATCAATTCTTTTTTTAAGGGAATCCTATCGATTCCAACTAGCGGAATATGGTATTGGGAATTTGGACATCGTTGCATAGTGTATTCAAGTGGCATCGATGTAGCTTACATTCATGTTAATTTTTTATTTGTTTCAAAACGTTTCATAAAAAATACTATGAATACGAGCCATTTAAGTGGTTATGCGACTTAAGGAAGTTTCACAGCAGACCAAAATTGGACCGAGGCATACGCGGGATTTTTCTACTAACCGCCACTCTAAATAAAATTACAATGATTATTATCTCTACTCAAAATTCATGTTATAAATTTTTTTCCATATATACTTGTTCCTAGAGAAGTTAATCTCAGGTTCTGAATAACAATGATGCTTTCAGGGGAACACTCCTTTCCAACTTCATCATTACATCAAATACGCTGTGCTGTTGCGGAGAGTTTGAAGCAAGAAGAATCACATTGTCAATAGTATCGAATTCGGAGTCCACGGGAGGGGATACAAGCCTAGACGCAGAATCATCGAAACCTAAGGTGTGTGCTCCTGTAGTGAATAAGAGCAACCTTAACTATCATATTAAGTCTAAGTACTTACCACTTCATATTTTGATTGATAAAACATTATGGTTAGTGGATGCATGACATTAATATTTGAATATATGATTTATTGCTTGAATCAATACCTGTTGTATAGTGAAGTTGTGATATCTGGACTAATTGGCAAATGATTTCATAGATACGATCAAGACTGATTCTAATTATCAAACAGACATACGATTTCCACATGTGATTATTGTCCATTAAATTATGGGCAGAGTTAGCCTAATCAGGAACTCTCGCCAAACAATCTTCCTCAATTAATCATACAAGAATATCCCAGAGATCTATAGCTACCATGAGAGAAGTATAGATCTAGCTCCGACGAATTCATAGTTGCCGCTTCAAACCCACATCTATACGCCGACTTCTCGCCGGTCATGGAAACCGCCGGCTCCAACAACCGACATCTACTCCATCGTCGTGGTCCACGATTCCTCGTCAGAATCCGAGGCGGAGCCGAGAGCCAGAGCCAGAGCCAAACCCTCTCGCAGACCAGAGACCGATGACATCTACGCCACGACGGTGTACAAGGGCGGAGCCGCCAATTTCGGGAAGAGCGACGGAGAAGAGGACGATGAAGACGAAGAATCGATGCCTCCGCTTCTCAAGCGCTAGCCCAAGGACTTCGGAGGTGGCGACCCGCTGGATGAACGCCGCCCTTAATCTGAACGCCGCCGCCATTTACAAAGAATTTCAGATTGGAAGTAGAGAGAGAGAGAGAGAGAGAGAGAGAGAGAGAGAGAGAGAGAGAGAGAGAGAGAGAGAGAGAGAGAGGGAGGGAGGGAGGGAGGGAGGGAGCAGAGAAGCAACGAGAGGGGGAGTTAGTGGAGGCGGTGGGAGAAGGGGAGTTGCTAAGGAGAAGGAGTGAATCGTCGATATGGAGAAGAGAATCGACGATCTGGGGAAGAGAAGCAGGGTCGCCAGTGAGTCGATGAGAATCGACTGATTTGAGTTATTTTTTATTTTTGTAATTTTCATAATTTTTATTTTGTTTTCCTTATTTTAATGATTTTAGATGAAAAAATAAATAAAAATTGATAATAAAAATTCCACGTCAGATGCCACGTCAACGCTGACTGGATTTTCTGTTAAATGCTAACGGTCAACACCGGTCAACACTAACGGAATAATAGTTCAGGACACAGATGGAATATTGGAAACAATAGGACACAAGTGGCATTTTCCGGATAGTTCGGGTATTGTAGTGGTATTAGCCATATGATTTATTGCTTGAATCAATACCTGTTGTATAGTGAAGTGGTGATATCTGGACTAATTGGCAAATGATTTCATAGAAACGATCAAGACCGATTCTGATTATCAAACAGATATAAGATTTCCACATGTGATTATTGTCGAACCCGAGGATGTTGCTCGGGCTGCCTTATACTTGGCCAGTGACGATGCAAAATCCGTGAGCGGATTGAATTTGATAGTTGATGGAGGCCACAATCACAACCATCCGCTTTTTGGTGCTACAGATTCGCTTGCCAACTGATTACCTCTTCCCTTTCATGATGCAAAAATATTCATTTATTTATTTATTGTCTTAAATTTCCTATTATATATGTACGTAGTCAGCCTAGTACTCTAAAGTTTGTCATAAACATTGTTTCATTTGTATTTGTATATTATTAAAATGACCGGTCGAACCATTGCACTTGCTAAACCGGTTTGACAACCTTGCTCCAAACTGTGGTCCAATTTTTATAATTTCATTGGTTAGAGCTTTGGGTTGTTTATATGCTAATCTTTCATTTCGGATCCTTAAAATGATAACTAGTTAATATCACTACTACCAATTTACAAATTTCATAAGTCATTTTCCTAAATTCAATCCTTTAATAATTTCGTAATTGTGGCAATCCTAGATAGATCTTACCGAATCCTCGAAGTGCATTGCTAGACGCTCATTATCTTTTATGAACATATAATTAATCACGGTAATCAACAAAACCCTACGGGTCACAAAAAAAATTCTTCGAAAATGCGATCGAAATGATGTGTTTGAATCATTCTGTTACTAACACGCATTGATAGATAAACCGCATTGGAGCATGGCGGTCTAATAAACCGCGCCGAGAAGCAGCGGTTTGTATGTATATATTTATTTTTTTTCAATCCAAACTTAAGTCGAATCTTCAAACAAACATAACTTTGTGCTGCGGTATCCGATCGTAGCGAGATATTTTTCGATTTCGCATAACTTTTCGAGATCTTGCAAGACGCAAACTGCCGCAGGCGGTTTGATCTCTCCTTCGTCCAGGAAAATGTCGTTTGCTACCCAAACGACATTTTTCCCGACACTACAACAAAACTACTCTTCTGTGACAAAATATTCTGTGATTGGCCAAATTTCGTCACATAATGTAGAATTTGTATTTCGAAATTTACTGCTTGTCACAAAAAGCTTGAATATTTTGTCAGACCTAGCATAAAACTACTCGTGATGAAATAAATCTTTCCTCTGAAACAGTCCAACGTCACCTTTAGTTCATTGTTTTATGTGACATTTTGGTGACAATGTAAGTAGTGACATAAAATATTATTTTTTGGAAACGATATTTATTCGATTAGAACTTTAGTGATGACCCCTCCACCTGTCTCTCTCCCATCTAATCGCTCTTGCGTAGGAAATAACGGAATCCAGCACCAGGGAAAGAAAAATGGCGGTATCCTTCTCCAAGGAAGATCCAATACTTTGAGTCATCGAACAGTGTTGGGGTCGATGGTGTCAGGAAGGCAGCCAGCAATTCGCCAAAGCTAGCGCTCTAATCAAATCTCATCTACCTTTCTTCACTCTCGCTTTCTCTATAAAAGTTACCAAAAATTAATCTCGGCAATCAACAAAACCCTATGGGTCACACAAAAAATTTGTGCTCCGGTATCTGATCCTAGCGAGATATTTTTTGATTTCGTTTTCTGCCCCAAACGAGATTTTTTCCAGCACTACAACAAAATTACTCTTCTGTAACAAAATATTCTGTGATGGGTCAAATTTCGTCACATAATGTACATTTTGTGTGTCGAAATTTACTGCTTGTCACAAAAAGCTTAAATATTTTGTCAGATCTAGCATAAAACTAATCGTGATGAAATAAATCTTTCCTGTGATACAGTCCAACGTCACCTTTACTGCATTGTTTTATGTGACACAGTTTATCTTTACATATGTTAAATGTCATTTTGGTGACAATGTAAGTAGTGACATAAAATATTATTTTTTGGAAACGATATTTATTAGATTAGAACTTTAGTGATGACCCCTCCCCTCTGTCTCTCTTCCATCTAATCGCTCTCGCGTAGAAAAAAACGGAATCCAGCTCCAGAAGAAAATAAATGGCATTATCCTTCTCCAAGGAAGATCAAATACTTTGAGTCATCGAACAATGTTGGGGTCGATGGTGTCAGGAAGGCAGCCAACAGTTTGCCAAAGCTAGCGCTCTAATCAGATCTCATCTACATTTCTTCACTCTCGCTTTCTCTATAAATCCCCAAATCTCTGGCTTTAGATCGATCCCGTAGGATTCGAGCAATTCAAGAAGGTTAGTAGCATCGATTAGCTCAGATTAATATCCTCAAAGTTCATGGTTGTTTCCCTTCTTTCGAGAGTAAGATCTCGATATCCCCCTTTTCATATTGGGATGTAGAGGCAATGGTAGAACAATTTCATCCATTCGATTTTACCTAATTCATGACAATTGACAAGAATCTTCTATTTCGTGTATTAGAGGTGGAGAGTTGCTTGGCTCTCAATTGGTCGTTCCTTGTGATTCTTCATGTTTCCATTTCATGGATTGTGCTCTGTTATCCATATTGAAGTAAGTAAACTTGTGGAAGGTGGCTGGATAATGAGGAGTTCATCATTTGGATGAAATGATATTCAATTTTGTGATTGGAGGCCCTATTAAGTCGAAATTTCAAACAAACGTAACTTTGTGCTCAGGTATCCGATCGTAGCGAAATTTTGTTATTCCAGCATAATTTTTCGAGATCTTGCAAGCCGCAAACAGCCACAGGCGGTTTGGTCCTGCCTTCGTCCCGATAAAACGACGTTAGCTACCTCAAACGAGCTTTTTTCCGATTTCGCAGAACTTTGGACGACCATAACTTTGTGCTTCAAACACAGATGGATTTGGACCAAGGCATACGAGAGATTTTTCTACTAACCGCCTCTGTAAATAAAATCACTTATGATTATTACCTCTACTCAAAATTTATGTTATAAAAATTGTTCCATATACTTGTTCCTAGAGAAGTTGATCTCGGGTTCTGTATAACAATGATGCTTCCAAGGGAACACTCCTTTCCAACTTCATCATTACATTCAACACCAATCATATTTCCTTGATCGCAATCATCTCTCGAAGGTAAATAATGGATTGGTTCATTCCCTTCTTCATTGAGTACTTGAGCATCCCTAGTTTCATTGGCTTCCTAATCTTCAGCAGTTCATTCGTCATTAAATTCGATATCTTCAAATATATGTTGAAAATCTTTCTACTTTGCCTCCAGATAAGCTTTGAGTCATACATCACGTAGACAAGGTCACTAGAGAAGGATAGGTGTAGCAAAGGACAAACGCGATACCAAGGTTGGGAATGGTGGCACTGAAGGTTTGGGAGACAACGAGCTAATTGAGATGGGAATTGGTGGTTGCAATGGTGATGTTGGAACAAGCAAAATACTAATTGGGAGGTTGATGGAGGAAATCATCGATAGGGAACAAACAACAGGAGGTGAGTTTTTGGTTGGTATGAGCGTGTAGAAGAAGAAGAGAGGGGGATAATTGAGGGTCTTCTGTCGGGTTAGGATTTATTAGTTGTCCATGAATTTGAGTCGGGGAAGTGAACTTGGCCCGACTCATGGACAAAATCCAACTCGACCTTTCAGATTTTGATCAAGTTGAAATGAACTTTGAAATTCTTTAAAATTGAAGATTTTAAAGATTTTATTTGGATCTTATGTGATTTTATAGCCCAAAGATTTAGTAGTAAAATCAGGATGAATAGATTTATTCATAAACCTTAAGATTTTAAAATTAAAATCGAGAATTTGACTACGTTGTTTGTACGTTTATGTTAATCTCTCCACTTATTGCTTCCAAAAATCGATGAAGCATTCAATCTTAGTAGAGAATCAATAGAACAAAAATCTAGAAAATCCAAATGAACGATCTTAGAATCAAACTATTCCATCTAGCTACCTTTGAGTTTGTAACGGCGATATCATTTGAAGTTGTTTGGCGATAATGATAGAGACCGAAAAAGTGACCTACAACGGTTATCATTATAACTGAGATGGCCACAGAAAACTATTTTGGGAAAGGGTAGGTGACTCGACTCTACTGTCACTCCAGGAATTGGCCAAGTGAAACCACTTCCTAAAGCGTAGTATAGCGGGTTTGGGTTTAATTATCAACCCGGGTCCTAGATTTGATGACTACTCAGTGAATTCTTGTTATCTAGCAATGAAACTGGAATGAAAGTCTAACTAACAAACTAGCAAAGCAGGTAAACTGTTGTATTCAAGTTAAGAGAGGTCACCCGGATATGGTTCCCCCTAGACTGCAGTTAAGCCGGATTGTAATTACCAAGTTCAGTTTCTATGAATAGTTATACTGCGGGAGGTTCTCAAACAGCCTGAAGTCTCGACTAAAGGTCTTCAGACCCTCTCAATCT